GAAGTCTGGCCATTCTCACTTCCAAGGAATATTCCAGCTGCACTTCTTCCAGGACAGATTTGTTTGTTCTTCTGGAAGTCCATGGTATTTTCCGTATTCTTTGCCAACACCACAATCCAAAACCATCAATTCTTCATTGGTCTTCCTTATTCATTGTCCAGCTTTCATATGTATATGAAGCTATTGAAAATACCATGGCTTGGGTCAGGCACCTTAGTCTTCAAAGTGACATGTCTGCTCTTCAACACTTTAAGGAGGTCTTTTGCAGTGGATTTTCCCAGTTCAATATGAACTAATTGTCTTCATGAAGAACACAATTACATTGGCCAGGAGGTTGTTGTTTAGCAGAACAAGGGGATACTGCATGGCTTAAGAGCAGGAAGGGTGTACATCGAGATTGTTTGCAATAATGTCATTGATCACTTCCTCTGTGATGCACTACCATTGGTAAAAATGTCCTGTATGGCCACACATGTCTATGACAAAGTGCTCCTGGGTGTGGTGGGCTTCACGGTCCTCTCCAGCATTCTTGCCATCTTGCTTTCCTACTCTAACATCCTCCTGGCTATCCTGAGGATCCGCTCAGCCTCAGGAAGGCACAAAGCCTTCTCTACCTGTGCTTCCCACATGGTCTCCGTCATGCTTTTCTATGGCTCCTTACTCTTTGCATATTCAAGACCTAGAACCACCTACTCCCTGGAGAGAGACAAAGTGGCTGCCCTGTTCTACACCGTGGTGAACCCATTGCTCAACCCTCTCATCTACAGCATGAGGAACAAAGATGTCAAAGAGGCTCTCAGGAAGGCAATACAGACTAAGACCACAAAGATGAAGGTCATCATTTTTCTTTTTAATGATCACTCTTATTGTGTTATCCAAATTATTAGCTTATAGAAATGTTTGTAAACATTGTTGTATTTCAATTAAATTCTATAAGTTAGACTTCTTGAAATACTAATTGAAGTATTCTCTGATTTTTATTGTTATGTCTGTGATTTAAAATGTCTTAAACCTGTAATATTTGTTGTTTGATGTTCTGAGAGATTTCAGTTTGCCTCTTTGCAGTACAAGACTTTTCATAAAATTTGTCCTTTTGATGATGCCTTGGAACGAGGAAAAAGGAATCGGTTTGATTTTGTGCATATTGTTTGACATTCAAGCTTGGCAAGCAAACTCTTCTGGGTGAAGAGAAGATATGGAATGATTCTTCTGGTGCTAGTTTGCTCTAAATTTTGCAAACATCTATTATTAGTAAAGTGTTTTCTCCAAATTTCTACATAAAGTACCAGTTGAGTATATATTAAATGTCTATGTAAACCTCTACCTTATATATTAATAAAATATTAGCCAAAGTGTTTAAGAATTATAAGATTATATTAAAAAATGATTCTAAATTCTTAGAAAAAGAAGTTTCTTGAAAATTGCATGTTATCTTAAAATGATCGGGAGCTCTGGTACCGAAGGGCCTAAGGCACTTGACTACTAACCAGAAGGTTGGAGGTTCAAACCCACCAACCACTCCTTGGAAGGAAGGTTGCACGATCTACTTCTGTAGTGATACTGCCTC